ATATTTTGTTATAATTGAGTAGATGTGTGTGAGAGAAAAAGTGATTGAGAAAGAGAGAGGAGAGAGAGAAAGTGATTGATTGATGTGTGGGAGAGAAAAAGTGATTTTGAATTTTTTTAAAAAAATTTCTAACCAAACAAAATTTAAAAATTATATTTTGAGAGTTAAACCAAATAAGACCATAATGCTCTAGGCCACTAAGCCTTCGTTTGACAATGACTTTTTTAGTTGATTTTTTGACTTTTTTAATTTTTTTAACCTCAGACTTTTTTATTTGTTTGGTATTTTTGATTAACTTTTTAATTTTGGAATGGTGACCGCTATTTGTTTTGACAATTTTTTTTATCCTTTTGTGATTTTTGACCTTTTTTAATTTTTTGATTTTTTTTTTTTTTTTTTTATCATTTTGTGATTTTTTAGCCCAACACAAAAATCAAACAACACTGGTAGGAAATTCGAAAATCTGAGGCTCGAATGTCTTGAAACTACCAAAACAACGTCGTTTTGCTGTCAAAGCGACGTCATTTTGACAATTTCAAGTCATTTGAACCACACATTTTGTGGCCCTCAAACATTATTTAAAATCAAAAGCCTAAGAAACCAAATAAAAAGATTAGACCCCACTTTCGAGCAGATCAAGATTGACAACTGTAGAAATAGAGACTTCGTTGGTCGATGAGGATCGGTTTTTGCTGCGCAAGCGTTAATGACATACAGAAATTCAGACCACGTTTAGAAATAGATTTTTTTTTAATAATTTTTTAATTAAAATATAAGGTAAAAAAATTAATATATTTGGAATAATTTTTTAATTTTTTACGAAAGGATATATAAAAAGTAAAGAAAAAAAACTTATATTTTTTAGTATAGGTTATAAACTTTTTGATTTTTTTTAGTAATTTTGTTGGCTTATTTTTCCTATGAAGGAAAATATCGTAAATGGGAGCGTGCCAACAAAGATTGAAAAATCTTTACAGATTAAATTCAAGTCAATTATCAAGCAATTGTGTTGACGGTTCTTTTGCCTCAATAAAGAATATTTCAAAATTGCTAAGTGTAGAGAAAAGAAAAATTAACAAAAGAATGAGGGAGACGAAAAAAAATGATTGAGTGAACAATCGGGGTGATTGAGTGAACAATCAAAATAACAATTACTTACCTCTACTCATATACTTTGAAAAGGAAGTGCATAAAATGCTTCGAAAAGAAAGTGCTGAAAATAAATGTTTCGAAAAAGAAGTGCGTAAAATAAACTGCAGGAAATATAAATGACAATAAAAATATAAATCAATTGTCTTTTATTTGAGTTCTGGATCTTTTACAATGTTATCATGAATGGCTTTTTATAGACAAATATTTGTAGAAAAAAACTACCTAATAACTGCTATATTCATCCATCTCCTCCATTTCATACTTCATGATCTTCCATAGCTTCCTTTAACCTCCATTTCATGCTTCATATTCTCCACTTTGTTCTCCATCATCTTTCTATATTTCATAACTTCTAATAACCTCCAATGAGTAGGATAGTGTCATATGTCCTGCAACTATATAAATAATAAATAATAATAAAATTACAAATTTATGACGCGCCAACATTATCCCCTGCGGCCCTTAAAAATAATGTTTACTTGAATTTTTAAAGGGCCGAACCAAACATATGACTAATCTAAGCAATAAAATGCTTCGAATAATATTAACAAAGTGCTTCAAATAATATAATAGCACCAATAAAGTGCTTCGAATGACATAATAGCACCAATAAGGTGCTTCGAACGAGCATTAAATTATGACTAAATATCTCGAATTATGTATATAAATATATGCCTTGAAGAGATATTATATATATACTTCGAATAAGCATAAATCCTTCGAAGGAAATTAAACAATTTTATTTTACTTGTGCTTCAAAAATTTAGAAAACTTAGGTTGATATTGCTTGCACTTAGAATCATTTAGAATCTCATATTTTCATGGCAAAGTCAATATCCAAACATGATTCACCTTAATAAACTGTTACACATGCTAGTTATTATGGACTAGTAACAAGCTTCGAAGGTGGTATAGAAGACCAAAATCATCCTTTGAAGGTCGAAAGTACAGACAAATGACAAATTACATCATTGTAAATACTCGACAAAGCTTTGAATGTTCACAACCACCATTATTGTTTCTTCAAAACTGTTATTGATGCAAAATGGAGTGCTTCGAAGCTTACAAAATTATGGCAAAAGGGTTTTCAAAGCAACTTTTGGCCAACATTGTGGTTATTTAAATTTTGTATATTCTGGTTCACATATAATTAATGAAAATATTAATTTTGTGCTTCGAACCAATTATTAATTCTCCGAAGACACCAAAAGCGTTGTTCTTCGAACCAACTTTTGTAGAATACTAGTTACATTTTTATGTAACAAATGGCTATAAAAATGTTTATCAATAAAGCCACTAATTATCATGCCAAAAATAGGCATTATTTGATAATTAATTAATTGTCATTTTATATATATTTGAAAGGAGGAACACATTTCGAAAGCTTTTTCGTCTCATGTTACATTTCGAAGGTGTTTATTGATGACAAAACTACCCTTCAAAAGTCACATATGTTACTAAAGGATCAAAATCGTCATTCGAAAGTGCTCACGACATCTCTTCGAACCAAATCCAAATAGTTGGATTACAATGAAATTAGTTTGACATTTTAACTAGCCATTAGTGGCTATAAAATGATATTTCAATGAATACATATAATAGCAAAATCATTTATCCTTTGAAAAGAGGTTTAACAACCCCCACATGTTTTTAATAACATGCTTCGAAGTGTCTTGTGACATGCTTCGAAGGTAACTACAAAATCAAATGGCGATGGTTTTATGGATCAACTAATAATCATATTTTTGACCCAATATATTGCAATAACGAAATATTATTTGTTAGCCATACCATCAAAGCAATGTTTGATGTGATCCACAAGTCCAAAATCGATTTTGAACAACAAAAGTCATGGTACAGTGTGAACATGAAAATTCTTACTTTTTAACACTTTGAAAAATGTCAAAATTTTTGAATTTATGAACAGTGGCTTGTTCATTATTCTTGATCATGTTTGGTTTAAAATCATGACTTTCACGAAATTAATTTTCATAATTATTTGGCAAAGTAGGCTGTTTTTCCATGTTAGCTATTAATGGCTTATGAAAATCCCCCATAAGTATGTTATTTTCATGACTTGACTCTCTTAAAATTGATTTTTGGACTCCCCGAGCTATGCATGAAACATCATTCTTAGCCAAATTTGGCTCAAGAACATGCTTTTTGTTATGTTAATTTCATAAATTAGTTTTTTAAAAATGGGCTCTTGAACCCCCCGAGCCATTGATGAAATTATATTTTCACTAATTTCAATCACAAATGACTTGAAAATATTTTGTAAAACCCCACAAAATTCAGTCGTTGGAGACTTGACAAGAAGGGTTAATAGCTCATGTCTCCATTGGCAAATTTCCATATCAAATTGATGAATTACTCCAATTAAATGGTGTGTTTTTTCTTTTACCAAACAATATTGTAATGGATGGAAGTTTGTTTCATCAAGAAAATGGATCTCTTCTTAAAGATTCAAAATTTTTTTGTTTACGCCAAAAGGTTTCATCTAGGCTATTTAGAATAGACGAATCCAATTTATTTTTCATTTCTTACACTTGATATCCGACTAAGTGTGCCAAAAATTGTTGGCTTATTTAAAATATCATAAATGCGAGCGTGCCAACAAGAATTGAAAAATCCTTACAGATTAAATTTAAGCCAATTATCAAGCGATTGTGGTGACGGTTCTTTTGCCTCAATGAAGAGGACTTCAAAATTGCCAAGTGTAGAAAAAAGAAAAATTATCAAAAGAAGAAAGGAGACAGAGAAAGATGATTGAGTGAACAATTGGAGTGATTGAGTGAACAATCAAAGTAACAATTACTTATCTCTACTCATATGCTTTGAAAAGGAAGTGCATAAAATACTTCGAAAATCAAGTGTTGAAAATAAATGCTTCGAAAAGGAAGTCGTAAAATAAATTGCAGAAAATATAAATGACAAGAAAAATATAAATCAATTATCTTTGATTTGAGTTCTGAATCTTTTACAATGTAGCCATGAATGACTATTTATAGGTAAATATTTGTAGAAAAAAACTACTTAATAACTACCATATTCTTCCATCTCTTCTATTTCATACTCTATGATCTTTCATAACTTCCTTTAACCTCCACTTCATGCTCTATGTTCTCCACTTTGTTCTCCATCATCTTTCCACATTTCATAACTTCTCATAACCTCCAAATGAGTACGAGAGTGCCACATGTCCTGCAATTATATAAATAATAAATAATAATGAAATTACAAATTTATAGTACCAACAAACTTTTTGACTTTTAAGTTAAAACAGTTGCATGTCAAATGAGACCTCAATAATGTCTTTGTACACAGACATATGTGGTGTACCATGGCCAGGATATATATAATGCCTGTGTTGTACAGCCTGTGAAGCAGTGAACTTTCTTTGTGTGTATTCATTGAAAGAGAGGAAATATATATATATATATATATACAATACATAACCTAATTTAGATCCTATTGTCATTGCCTATTTACATTCCTATGAAAATGGAAAACAAATCAAGCGAAAGAAGAATGAGGATTGACTGTCCAAACCTGTAGGAGATCCTAAATTTAGTGCATTACTCAACTTTACATTCCTTAACACTCCCTCTCAAGTTTGGAATGTATGTTGATAATTCCTAACTTGCCAAGTAAGGTCGAGAATTGTGAAGAACTCAATGGCTATGTAAAAATGTCGGTGGGCTGGTGTGATGTGGATATGTGAATCATTTTGATCATTCCTTCTTGAATCTTTTCTCGTATAAGATGACAATCAATTTCTATGTGTTTTGTTCACTCATGAAAAACTGGGTTTGAAGCAATATGGAGTGTTGCTTGATTGTCACAATATGGGTTGGCAGGGTATGGATGCTTGATGCCCAAATCTTGTAGAATGTATTTTAACTAGGTAATTTCATAACAAGTTGTAGCCATAGATCGATGTTCAGCTTCTACACTAGATCGTCACACCGTAGTTTGTTTATTGACTTTCTAGGAAACTAATGAATTGCCAAGAAGTATGTAGTACCGGGTAACGGATCATCGAGTATCACAACATCTAGCCTAATCTACATCACAAAATGCATCTAATTGAATTGATCTAGTTGTAGGAAGAAAAATTCCTTGACCGGGTATTTGTTTCACATAACGCAAGACATGATGAGCTGCCTCTAAATGTGGAACCCGTGGTTTGTCCATAAATTGACACTACTAGAAAAATGACCTTTTGCTACCATACAATTTGCGACCCCCTAATTATCAGTCGCAAATAATCTATTATTCCTTATATTTATTTTTTCTTCCTTTTTTCCTTATAATTGCCCTAGCCCTATTTCACAAACATTGATATCGTTCCCCTCTCTCTCTCTCTCTCTCTCTAATCAATCGTCGAAGTTCTCAGTTCTCAGGTCGCCAGTAACGTTTCTCTCTCCTTCGGCTGCCTCGCCTTCGCCCCTGCCCTCCTCAACCTCTTCCAAGTCTCTTTCTCTCTCTTTATATACATGCATATATTTGTGTATATATCTCTGCTAGCTTGTGTTCTAGATGATTCTAGAGAGAGAATTGACAAATAGCTCTAAAGATCTATGGCGGATCATTCTCTTTCTCTCTCTCTCTCTCTCGCACGCATTCAACAGTCTTGTACAGCTCTGCTCTCTCGCTCGTCATAGTCGTCTGAAGATCTCCAGCGGTATGAATCTCTCTCTCAATCTCGCCCTCTCTCTCTCTCTCTCTCTATCTATCTATCTATCTATCTATCTACACATACATATCATACGAGGAAGCTCTGGTTCGACTAATTCGTCTCATCCTCGTACAGGTATGTACTGGTTCAACTCATCTTATCCTTGCCCTATTTTCTTGCATTTTCCATATCTATTAGTGTATATCTCTCAATTTCTTCTTCAATACATTATAGTGAGTAGTACATTATTGTTTTTAACTTGAAATCAAGATTTCATTTATTATCGACAATTTTGAATTTGTTGGGGCAAGAACTGGTAAATTTGAATTTGGAAGATAAAAAGTCCTAGTGTTGAATTTGCTTGATTTATATGTGATATTAAATTAGTTCGTTGATCATGCTGATTGGATTTTCTAGTTGATCGATTTGTTAGCATTGACATTGACATTGACATGAATCATTATCACTCGGTACAAGTGTATTCATCGTTGCTCTTGCTGTTGGAACTTTTGCTTGTTGGATGTTGTGAATGTCTTTGGTGATTTCTATAATCATATTTTTTGAATATGTTTGAAGAAAGGGGAGAGGGACATATTGAGGTTAAATTCTTGTTTTGTCTATTCTTTTAGAGGTTAAATTCTTAACTGAAGGCGAGGGCGTGTTCTATTTTCCTCAAGGACATATTGAGCAGGTTAGTTTCCAGCTCTAGACAATTCTATTCGGAGTTCTTTGTTTCTCTCAGAGGTTAAATTCATTAGGATTTCTTATAATGCTTTATAATTTTATCAGTTTTGTCTCTCTTGGTTGTGCATCTCCAATTGTTCATCAAATTTTTCATCAGATTCAAATGTGATGAAAAAAATGGCTCCAAAATGATTGATTATTGATGAAGAATTATGTTTGATGGATATGTTTGATTATCTTCAATCATCAAAATGATATTACTCCAATTTTGCCATCATACAATGATTCTAGGAATTTCTAAATTTTTATTTTTATTATTTTGTGATCTAGAACTAGCTGATTATCATTGGTATGATCCACAATATATTCTTAGGTACATATCTGATCCTGAATCAGGGTGGGTGACTGACTGATGTATTTGGGGTTAGATTGGGAAGTGTTTTTAATGGTTAGTGGTTTGTGAAGTTAGAGAGGGTGACCAGGGGTGAATGAAGTGCCATCACCATGAAAACTAGTGATCTGTTTCTCTTTTGCCCTGTTTGTGTGGAAAGGTAAAGAGATTTGTGTATTGGCTTTGCAATATTTGCTGCAAAAAGCGGTGAAAGCTATGCCAAAATTACTATTCTCTGTAGGTTGACTCTATTTACTATGCTTTGCTTTTAATGTAGGACAATGGAAGAGGAATGCCACATGATGATATTCCCAATATGTTTGGACGAGGTTTGACACTACTTGCAAGATACCGTTTCCATTTGATACGATTTATTGTTGGCACATGGACTGGAATATTTGTTTGATCATGGACATTCAATGTGTTCATATTACATTGAGAATTGCTAGGATTAATATGTTTCAACTCTATAATGATATTGTAATATTGACTTATTGTGAGAATATTTATATTTGTGTAGTTTTGTCTGGGACAAAATATGGCTTGAAGCAGACACGCGGAAAGTTTGGACTTGGTGCAAAGATGGTAATGTTTGACATCATTTAACCAATTTATGCATTTTCAGGTCTTAGTGTGAGAATATATATTTGTGCCCTTCCATTAGGTTTTATTTGTATATTTTAGTTCCTATGGTTCTTCGTTTAATAATCATGATAGAATATGAATGTGAATTTGGTCAACCATATTCTTATGCTTATAATATAATATGGTCAACAATTTGATCTTTGTCCTTATGTAGGCATTAATTTGGTCCAAGATGAGTACAGGGCTTCCTATTGACATTTCATCATCAATGAAGGCCCAAAATTATAGTTCATTCTGCAAGCTTGATATAGACATTCATCGGTATGATTTATATAAGGCATAACTTATAATCCTATGACTATTGTTACATTGTGAATGTGCATAGTTGTAAGTCTCCTGTTTAATTTTGTTGTACTTTTCGTTTCTTTCTTTCTAGTTTATAAATGGAGCTTCTTTCAATCATTAGGAACATTCCTCACATTCACTTACATGAAAAACGGGACAATAAGGAACGATGGCATGGAGCTAAAATCCAAGTTGTTATTGAGGGGAATTGAACAACTTACCGTGTATGTAGCACTCAATTTGGCCCATGTCATGTGATTCCATTGTACTTTTAGCTGTACACATAAATAACGAAGAAAAGCATTTATGTGATGTGTTTTGGAATCGTGTTCGATCAAATAAATTGAGCAACATATTCTTTTGCTGATGATAATCCTCTAAAATTCTATATTAGGCTTATCAATGGCATCACTGACGGAACTTTCTTTCAACTGGACTGGTTTCATTAGTGTGATGATTTCAAATATTGCATTCACTTGCAGGAGTATCTATTCAAAGAAGCAATGGTAATGTCTTTCACAACATGTAATTATTCTTAGTATTCTAAATTGTGGTTTTTATTTTGATGGGATGGAAGAGTGTGGAAGAACACAATTAAGGTCCCCTGCTTGACCTTTAATAATGCTTGATTATCTCTTATGTTGCTTTCGACTTTTCTAAATGCAAGAAGTAATGGTGTTGAACACTTGACACGTGTAAGACTTCAAAGAGTACAGGATTTGTGTCCAATGTGCCTAGTTGGACATGCACCCAGTATCTCTTGCTTAGTCTATTAGGTAATTTTTATAACACTAAACTTTACT